GATGCACATACATGTCCTTATATTGTGTAGAAAGTTTGAGCTGATTCTGATTGAATTTGGATTTTTTATGAATTTTTTAAGTTGCTCCAAAATCGAGCCAAAGTCCCTATACTATAGTACAGGGGCATTGGCCAAATTTTGCTAAAAATTTCAAGTATAAAATTTTCAATTTTTATAATGTTTTCTGATGCATATACAAGCTCTTATGTTGTGTAGAAAGTTTCAGCAAATTCTAATTAAAATTAGATTTTTTATAAATTTTTTAGAATCCTGTCTTAGTCATTTTTAACAAAATATTAAAAGCTAGCATGAGCATGCTCAGTTTGAAACAAAATGGTGGATTTTATATTGGCGATTTCTTCATGGAAATGTCGATCGGCAATATTAATTCCTTGCCAATAAGTCATCTTGTACGGTATAATTCTACATGTACATGTATATAAAGTACAGAAGAACTCTCAAATAAAAATGTATGAAAATGTAGAAGCTATGGTTAAAATAAAGATGGGAAACAGAGCACAGGCTGTTGCATGTACAAGGATTTATAGTACAATACAACAATGTTTAAATCCCATATACAATGTATGCAATTATGTATGTACATGTACATGTACATGGCACATACCTCATCCTCTTGTTCATAAAGTTGCTTAGATAGATCAGTTTCCTCCAGTGTCTGTCCTTGAGCTGCCAGTTCTCGGTTCAGTTGCTGGATCCTGTCCCTCTTGATATTACCAGCACTCACCAGTACACTCTTTAGGGCTCTCAGACCAAAGTCATAGTGAGACTGATTGGATAACTGCTCATCACACAATCTGTAAAGAGAGAGAAAACAAGAAGCTTAAACTTTAACAGAAAAATATACATGTACATGTACACATTGCATGTTAAATTCACTCTAAACAGGATTAGAAATTTTCGTTCGTTTTATTTTCGTTCTAAGCAGCCATTTTGTACACGTGGCATTGAAGAAACGCCTTTTTCGTTTGGAAAATATTCGTTCCACAAGGAATGAGAATGAAATTAAACTCTGACGGAATATACTCGCTATACGGTACTGTATATGCAAAAGAATGATTTTAGTCCTCAGACAAATGCCTCGTTATTCATCAAATACCAAAACCAGTTTGACTGGTTTTACAACTTATGGCTTGTCATCTAATACTCATCACAAGACCATGATAATAAAAACACTTCTTATTAAAGCCCATGCAACTCTAATTAAAGCCCAACGTTTGCTTACTTAAATAAAGGTACTACAATGTATCTTGCTAGTGAGTGTCTCGGCAGTCCTGAAACCCTGAGAGTACAACATCACCTGGGCAATAAGGGGTCGGTCAGGCTTTGTCATAGCAATTAATACTAAAAAAAGGCAAAAAATAAAATAAAAACATGTACTATTATTATTATTATTATTATTATTATTATTATTATTAATTGGTTGCAATTTTCAGACAAATGCCTCAAACAATCATTATAACAATAAAGCAGTTGACAGGCAAACTTGTTTGACTAGAACAGCAAACCGGTTTGATCAGTTGATGGTGACAGATCAAACATGTAGAGGTATATGTAAATAAAAATTGAACTATTAAGTTTGTTTTAAAAAGCACGAAGTAGGAGGCAAAAAGCACACCCACAAAATTAATTAATTACTCATGTTAAATTGAGATTCGTTAAACATGCAATTGATTTCTTACCTTCTCAATAATTGTTATAATTTTTTTCAAGTTGACCAGTAGCTCGTAGGATCTTCCAGTAATACAGTCACTGACAGACGACAAACAAATAATCTTGTTGTTTCTTGCAAAGGCTTTATGAAAACAAATAATCAGTCTCTTAGTAATTAGCTCCTTGATTTGAGGAAATTTTACATTAATGACTGCAAGTGCAGCGTACACCTTAGTAAAGGTGGGTGAGGCTGACTAAGCTATGACAGCAAGTGCCAATAATCCTCTAATAAAAAGAACAAAATAATATTGAAAATGAATAATTAGAGTATACATGTAAGTATTTTACCACCCATGGACTAAACTTTCTTGTACTAACTCCCTGACAATGTTGGCAATATTTGACACATTAACCTAAGGAGGTGTGTCTGTGATCATGTGACAGTCATGTGATTGTACATACCTTGTTAATCAGACCATTAATACTCTTATTAAGAGCCTCCCATGCCATCCTTTGATATGGAGCACTAGAGAGAGAGAAAAAATTTAAAAAAAATAATTACTTTAAAATAACTAAAATTCCCATACCTGGTCGTATCTGTGTTTGCATGATTTTTTATCGAGCTGGGGGAATATAAGCTCCGCCTACATTAATTAATAAACCAAGGTTGCAATAATACAAACCACACCAACCTGTCTTTGTCAAAATGGATTTATCGTCTTTCTTTTCTTAATTCATCCACTCACTGGCACCATCATCATCCCTTGAAGCATCTTCTCTTGTATCACTGTACAATCAAAACCACACCTACTAATAAAACACACCCATTAATAATTAACTATAATGTAATTTGGACAAATAAAAGGTTTGGCAAATATCTATTTTGTGACAAGCCATTACAGACAGAAAAGACCCATCTAGTAATCTTTAGTTTTCGGAAATAAATTATACGGAGCTGGTTAATTATGCATGTGTATTGTGTAATCATGTGTATAGATCTAATTAGTCTAGTCTGGCAAGATTGTGCCCCTTCCTCAGTGTCCTAGGTGTCTTCAGTGTCCTAGGTGTCTTCAGTGTCTTAGGTGTCCACAGTGTCCTCAGTGTCCTAGGTGTCTACAGTGTCCACAGTGTCCTCAGTGTCCTCGGTGTCCTAGGTGTCTTCAGTGTCCACAGTGTCCTAGGTGTCTTCAGTGTCCACAGTGTCCACAGTGTCCTAGGTGTCTTCAGTGTCCACAGTGTCCACAGTGTCCTAGGTGTCTACAGTGTCTTAGGTGTCCACAGTGTCCTAGGTGTCCACAGTGTCCTCAGTGTCCTAGGTGTCTACAGTGTCTTAGGTGTCCACAGTGTCTTAGGTGTCTTCAGTGTCCTAGATGCCTTAGGTGTCCACAGTGTCCTAGGTGTCTACAGTGTCTTAGGTGTCCATAGTGTCCTAGGTGTCCACAGTGTCTTCAGTGTCCTAGGTGTCTTCAGTGTCTTAGGTGTCCACAGTGTCCTCAGTGTCCTAGGTGTCTACAGTGTCCACAGTGTCCTCAGTGTCCTCGGTGTCCTAGGTGTCTTCAGTGTCCACAGTGTCCTAGGTGTCTTCAGTGTCCACAGTGTCCACAGTGTCCTAGGTGTCTTCAGTGTCCACAGTGTCCACAGTGTCCTAGGTGTCTACAGTGTCTTAGGTGTCCACAGTGTCCTAGGTGTCCACAGTGTCCTCAGTGTCCTAGGTGTCTACAGTGTCTTAGGTGTCCACAGTGTCTTAGGTGTCCTCAGTGTCCTCGATGTCTTAAGTGTCCACAGTGTCCTAGGTGTCTACAGTGTCTTAGGTGTCCATAGTGTCCTAGGTGTCCACAGTGTCTTCAGTGTCCTAGGTGTCTTCAGTGTCTTAGGTGTCCACAGTGTCCTCAGTGTCCTAGGTGTCCACAGTGTCTTCAGTGTCCTAGGTGTCTTCAGTGTCTTAGGTGTCCACAGTGTCCTCAGTGTCCTAGGTGTCTACAGTGTCCACAGTGTCCTCAGTGTCCTCGGTGTCCTAGGTGTCTTCAGTGTCCACAGTGTCCTAGGTGTCCTAGGTGTCCACAGTGTCCTCAGTGTCCTAGGTGTCCACAGTGTCTTCAGTGTCCTAGGTGTCTTCAGTGTCTTAGGTGTCCACAGTGTCCTCAGTGTCCTAGGTGTCTACAGTGTCCACAGTGTCCTCAGTGTCCTCGGTGTCCTAGGTGTCTTCAGTGTCCACAGTGTCCACAGTGTCTACAGTGTCCTAGGTGTCCTAGGTGTCCACAGTGTCCTCAGTGTCCTAGGTGTCTACAGTGTCCACAGTGTCCTAGGTGTCCTCAGTGTCCTAGGTGTCCACAGTGTCCTAGGTGTCTACAGTGTCCTCAGTGTCCTAGGTGTTCAGGCTCAGTGTCCTAGGTGTCCTTGCATGTCCCTAGTGTGAAATGTCAGTGTTCATCAGTATTTTAATATGACCTTGTATATCTAACAATGAACATGGAGGAGTTGAAGTTAATTCCTATTTTAAAATAATTATGTACAATTTATTTAGGAAGAGATTGTTCGTATATAATCCCGAAACACATGAATGGAAGATGAGATGCATTGATTATATTGACATTTTTAATACTTTCATTACATTATTGATAATAATTATTATAAATGAGCAACTCTTCAAGAATAAGTTAATAAACTATAGTGACATGATTAAGCTATTCAAGGCTTTGAGCAGAATCTTATATTTACTTTTGATGAATTTAGATTTCTTTTTCAATTACTTTCTTTGGATAGCAGAAAGAGAGGAATGCTTTAACTACAGCTTACTATAGGACAAGAGTGTACTACTATGTGCTGTGAGTCACTGTTCATGGATTCTATTTTTGTTGTCTCTTTTATTGCCCTTGATTATAACATGAAAATGAAACGATTTATTTCATGATAATAAAATTAAGAAAATACAATCAAAAGTCATTTGTAAACTATAGAGTTCATGAGCAATCATTACATACAAAGTCAGTTGGGCATGCCACACCTGATACAGCTTGAGAATTTGCACATGCCTGATGCACCCATAATTCACATGTCTTACATACTGCCCAGTTCACATCATCATTGGATGACTGGTCATCTACTTTGTGACATACTCCACAAACTGTTGGCTCCACATCTTTCAGATTGTCTCTGACAGATTCTTCATGTTCAAAAGTAGGCTTTCCAAGACCTGGTGTCATTTGCCTTCTCTTTTTTGTAGAATGAAATCGTGGTTGATTAACATTTTTGGCATTTGGAGCAGGGCGTTTTCTCACTGAAAATGGCTTTAAAGTCTTTCCATTAGCTTCTATAATTTTTATGGAAGATTTTAAGTGAGAATTCACCTCTCTTAATTCTGTGTCAGGGCAGTTTGAGACTGCAAGACATTGTAGAGTGCTGAGGTTTTGAAGAACAAGGTCTTGAAGAGATTCTGTGGGACCACTATCTTTGAAATATGTGCTAACAGAGGACTTGGACTGATTACATGGTCTGACAGCTGATTCCTGAGTTTCTGTAGGAAATGAATTGCATTCATCTACGCTG